AGGAAAAACTGTCTCGGCTGACAACTACCCTACAGCAGTGGATTCAGGCATTAAAGCGCCAATGAGGAGATTTTTAACCACTTATGAAAACAGGATGAAATTATCACTGATGCTTATTTATGACGTACAAAAGCAAACAACACCGTGTAGACCCTGCAAGTAATATTCCTCCATTGGACACTTGGACGCAGCAAATGGATGCATTTATTCATTAACCGTGCAGGTTTTAAGTGGAAAAGTAAATCAGTGCGTTTCATTTCCCTCAAAATTCTAGAGAGAACGGGACTAATGCTTCAACGTTTTGCTTGGAGACCAATGATTTGAATTCTTTCTGATTTAAAAAAAACTGGATTTTCTATGAAAATGTAATTCCACGCTTGCCTAAAAACTTTATGCAAATTAACCAATTACTCTTTGGAATGAATATGCATTAGTTTTTTTTTTTTTCAAGAGAGGCACTAAATGAAAAAAAAAAGTGTTTCATCTGACCTTGTCGTCACCTGCTGCTTGAACAACTGCGCAAAAACCTCTCCTGCCCATCAATCCCATGACATGATTTTAGTCTTCTCTGTTTGTTCTCTCCACCGTTTGGAACAGAAATTCTTAACTAAAGGTTTCAGGTTTATTTGCATCTGTCCATCAGAAGCTCTGTTGCAGAAAGCTGTCATCTTGCTTTATCTATCAATGTGATGCCTGGACTTTGACTCACTGTCCATGAGAACTTTGAGAAGGAGGGGTGGAGGGGTGAGAGGGTCCTCAGGTCAGAGAGTGTAGTTTGGGGTGAACCGATTATTTTGCTGGCCTGATTAACTACACGGACAGAGTTTGGTTTTGTGTTCGGTGGCGCTGGAGTTGTACCAGAATGAGATATTCTGAAGCTTGACAACATGGTTGTGTGTGTGAGACAGTTACAGTAAAGAGTCAGATCAGTGATGAGACATGCATGCATAAAAATCCAAAGACAGTGTCCACTGTGTGGGCTTTGGTTTGGAGACGATGCAGAAAAGATGTTTGGGGTGTTTTTTTGCTCGGTGCGAGTCATTCAAGAGAATTTAATAAAAGATGAAAATCTCACATTCTGAAAACAAAGACGAAAACATCAACCCACCAAAATCCAAGACAATGAAAGCGGCATGAAGCTGCAGAAATAATTTAGCACCTTTTAGCCGCTCAGTTCACAAAGAAGGGCAAGAAATAGGAAGGGAAAAAAAAGGCGTCCAGTTTACAAAGCGATTGGACGCTTTTCAACCGCACAAACTGAAACTTTAGGCTGAAACTGATCCTCGGTGAGCTTTGACTCACTGTTCGATCTCTGAATCATTAAAAGCATCAAGGGTCTGGTTGGTGAACATGAGTGTGCAGCATGCTGATGATGTCACATTGCATGACTTATTGATCTGTGATTCTCAGCTTTCTTGTCCAGTTCAGAGACACCACCAGCTTTAAACACAGAAAGAGAGCAGGACTCGGTGATGGAGGCAAAATGGGCGAGTGATACCTACTTGGCACACTTCAATTTGCCTCTATTTGCACTCTTCCACACACACACACACACACACACAGTGGGCCTGCAGGGACCACAGCGCAGGGAGGTGGGAGGATTCTGCAGCAAGCTCATCCCAGTACGACAAGGTCACCTTAAGTGGATTGGGATGAGACAAGGGAGGGAGATGAATCCCCCCCTAGGACTAAAAAAAAAAAAAAAAAAAACAGGGAGCAACTCATGAAAAAGTAATTAAGCAGGATGCACATCAGTGGAGGCCACAGGCGGAGGAGGCGAGGAGGGCGGTGAAGACGCCCTCGAGGAAGATGGAGGAATGTTTGTACTCAAGATATCTGGGGCTTTTTTCGGTAAACGCACAAAACAGGAACGTTTAACCTCGGACAGTTTCAGGGTAACTGGGTATGTGGTTCTCAAAAAAAAAAAGGGAAAAAGTAATGCCGAAAGGAAAAGATCAACCAATAAAAAATTTCTAGTAAACATGTGCAATTTTCAAACTCATCCCTATTCATCCAAGTGGGGTACACAATGAAGAAATTCAGGCAATTTTCGAGAAATTTCTGTTTTGAAAACCAGCTACAAAGCGACACTATCATCAGAGACACAGATGTATGAAGGCAAGAGAAGTCCAGCCCAACAACAGATGAATGTGCAAGAATCCAAAATTGGATGTTTGTCACATGCCGTTTCATTTGTATTTAAGAAGTAAACCAACTTTTTTTCTATGACATTGAAAAAGCAATCGCATCAAGTTTCTAGACTCCACTCCCTTCAAATGTCAGTTCACTCTGACTCTGCCGGTCTAGATGCTTCACAGAGAAGCTTTCCCATCAGATTTCCCTCACCGAGCCCTGCACCTGTTCCTGCAGCAGCAGCAGCTCAACCAAGAGCATCTCACGAGCTCGGTGAGCTAAGCTCGGTGATTTCTTGAGACGGCACCAGCAGAGCCTCCCAGATACTCGCTTGTACAGAGAGAGAGAGTGCAGCTCAGTCAGTGTGTAGTCAAAATCGGACAAACTTTACAACCATTAAAAGAACTTTACCCCAACAGCAAACATTTTAGTTGAAGTTTTTCTTCTTCTTTTTTACAGAGCCGCACCTAATCAATGTAGTTTCTTGCATTTTAGCCTTAGGTCTTAGCTTGTATTCTGCTGTAAAGTGTTCCCTTAGTTCCCTTATTGTTATTATAAATATGAATCTTCCTTTACAGTGAAATAGCAGTGGTTCCTTTTGAATGCAAGATCCGTCTCGATGAACAGAGATGCACAAATACAGGGACAGTGAACGCACCACCAAACTGTCATTGATACCTGACAGAAATCCAAGGACATCACTAAACACCCTCTCAGATACACCGGCAGAGTAAGTGTGTGTGTGTGTAATACTAAACACAGCTCAGAGTGTTTAATGTTACATCACACACACACACACACACACACACACACACACACACACACACACACACATGAATATTAATGACAACATTACTTTGAGCTTTGTCTAGCAGCTTGTTAGTCCTGACGTACATTCAAATGTGTTCTGTTTGTACTGTTCCTCACTACGCCGCGCCCACGCAAACAGTACAACGCCACACACACACACACACACACACACACACACACACACACACACACAAACACACACACAAAGTCAGGTCATGGAGGTTCCCACAAGCAGTGGATTATCAAGAAGTTATTATTAATGTTTTGTTTGTGCAAAAGTGGAAAATATCAAAAGAGAAGAAGAAGAAACACTCAGAGCTTTAAATTCACTTAAATTTTACGTATCATTCCCTGTTAATTTTTCTTTCCTGTTTTGTGTCTTCGTTCCCCCCCCAACCCTCTTGTGTATGTTTCCACACTCTCTACCTTTGTGCCCCGCTCTCATTGTTTTCACCTGTGGATTGATTTTCTCACCTGGCTGTGTCTCCCCCTGTTTTCAGTGCCAGCATGTCGTCTACCCTTGCTCCTTGTGTTCTCGTGGATCTTTTTCTGGACATTGTTGTTTTCCTCGAAACATTTTCTTGCACCCTGTGGACTTTTCTTTATTCATTTTTTTTTTTATGTCCGCAAGTGGTTCCTCTTCCTTTGACAGGCAGGGTCTCTTATCACTTTTTTCTTATTCTTACTTACCTGCTGTTTAACGTCTCATTTTATCCATAATTCCATTTTAGTTTTGTACACTTGAATTTTCCCCCAGAGATTATGTTTGAAGCACACTTGAAATATTTTGGGAGCTACTTTCAGTCCATATTGTTCTATGTTTGGTCTGCTGGAGTTGCTTGTTGTAAATCCAAAAGTTAAAAAAAAGGTGAAAGTCAGAGCAACATGGAGCAAGTTAGAGAAAAGGCTCACAAATCTTCTTTCTCTGCAGCAACAGCGGACATTTCTTTTGATGTAGTGAGCCAATTCCCTCTACTAAACTTCTTCTGGCACTGATCTGTGCTCTATATCACAAAGACTGTGAAATAAAGCTGTCAGGTTACAATCTTTGGCTCAATAAAATACACCTCCCGCTGCCCACAACAATCTCCTTCAGAGAAATACCTTTTGGCAGAGCCATCGCTGGATATTTATGTCACTAACAGCAGCAACTGCAATGTACCCTGTCTGCAACAAATTATAGAGTGACCTGTGTGCAACAGACTATAGAGTGACCTGTGTGCAACAGACTATAGAGTGACCTGTGTGCAACAGACTATAGAGTGACCTGTGTGCAACAGACTATAGAGTGACCTGTGTGCAACAGACTATAGAGTGACCTGTGTGCAACAAACTATAGAGTGACCTGTGTGCAACAGACTATAGAGTGACCTGTGTGCAACAGACTATAGAGTGACCTGTGTGCAACAGACTATAGAGTGACCTGTGTGCAACAGACTATAGAGTGACCTGTGTGCAACAGACTATAGAGTGACCTGTGTGCAACAGACTATAGAGTGACCTGTGTGCAACAGACTATAGAGTGACTTGTGTGCAGAGTTCTTTATGTTAGAAAGTAATGGATTAGATGTAAATGAGAAACAAGAAATTGACACTTGAACAAAGCAATGCAACGTTACTACCAGTCAGCCGGATTAAAACATATTCCAAAACTTTTTGTGTCAACAGTCATCACCACCTGAAAATGTGTATAACTAGGTCCAGAAAAAGGTCTTTAACATCTGCCACCTGTCCATAGATGTTCTATAAATAAACATGAAAGAGCAGCGTCCATTCCAACCTTCTGTCAAACAACCACCAGTGGAGATATTTTGGCTTCAAATGCACTGAGTGAGAAATATGAATAAGATATTACAACTCTGGCACTCTTTTTGCGACTGTTGGCCAAGTGCACTGGACTGGTCAGAGTGTGTGTGTGTGTGTGTGTGTGTGTGTGTGTGTGTGTGTGTGTGTGTGTGTGTGTGTGTGTGTGTGTGTGTGTCTTATCAGGTGCGAGCAGAAAGCAGTTCGTGTGGCTTTTTTCTTGGGCAGGAATCAGAATGTTAAGAGAAACGTACCGTAGGAGAAGGGGATGTCCAGGTCACCCTGCCAGGACATCTGGCCCGACTCGTCTATGGAGTGCTGCGCTGTAAAAACATGACAACAGGCCTCTTGTTTACAGCTCATTCTCCATCTGACAACACTTCTGATCAACTCACGCTCCAGAGGAAGACAATACTTTGTAAAAAATGGATGACTGTGCTGTGCTGCACTCACACCAGCCGCCTGCCGAGTGTGACTTTGTCATTGGAAGTGAGGATTTAATCATAGATAATATGTGTGTGTGTGTGTGTGTGTGTGTGGGGACTTTTGCAAGATGTCACTTCAAGCCATTATGAATTGTGATGTCCAACTTCCACTGAGCTGAAACTAAAGTCACAGTTTTTTTGTCTTTGGCAGACACACAATGGCAGCATGACGCAGTAGCTCTGAGAGTGAAATGATTATTATTCCGAGCTCGCTTTAAAGTGGAATCAGATTAGGAGGATGGACTGTACCTTTCAAATGGCCACGTCCGAGTGTCACAAACCCAGAGGAGATGAAGTTGTGCATGTCCTGGCCTCCGCTGCGCAGGTTTTCTTTCCCATAGTGCCCTGTTGAGACAAACAAATGTGGTTAATCAATATTTACTAGTCTCACCAAATGGTTCATGAATCTTTATTGGATTTCTTTCTCTCTATCTAAAATCGGTATCGTATCGTCCCCAAAATACCATATCGGTCTTGCCCTAGTTAAAGGAGCAAAAAATGCAGCACAACATCAAGATGCGGTCACTCAGGAGCCCATTTTTTGTCCAATATACAAACACCAGAGCAAATTTCGCCAAGGGTGTAACAAGACTCGAGATCTCGCAAAATTAAAACACCATGACACTGCCTCACAATATCGTTACTGTACATAGACACAGAGCAGCAGCCGCCATGTCGGTCTGATGTTGACCTGGAAATTACCAAAGACGATGCCTCTGCCACTTTTTAATCATTTGTGTATTAATCTGTAATTCAGTTTGTACCACATTGCTGTTAACTCCGCTCTTAACTTGTGCTGTAATTCAGAGAGTTGCCTGAACACAAAGGAGCTAGACAGGAAGTCTGCTACTAACATAATACAATTGACCGACCAATCCCAGGCAAGTCTTACAAAGAAATAAAGGGATGTGGATTTTTTTTTGATGGAAGAAAATAACAAAGAATCCAAAATCTGGAGAATCAGTTTACCAGACCACTCTTCTCTTCCTCCCCTCTCTTTCTGTATGTTCGTCCTGCTTAAACATTAACCATTGAACAGTTAAATGCCTCAATCTCCAAGGAACCACTTCAAAGTCAATAACATCACTCAGACCTTTGGGCTCAGGGATGCTGGGTTCGAACAGCATTTCAAATTATCATAATGAGAAGAAACACCTGGGACCATTAGGCCTGCTCCTCATCACACCAAGGTTTGGCGCTTGGGCATCAGCAGCGAGGCTCATTTGTTTCTTTTTATCAAACCCAGAGGACAAAGATTAACTGATTACAGTAGCACTCTGGCCATCCCTGTTAATATAAGACATGTTAAAGCAGGCTGCATGTACCATAAAAAATAGAAGCAATGTAGTTTCTTGTATTTTAAACAGCGCATGGTTGTTCTCTATATGCCGATGATACAGTAGTATATCTATGTGATGTCTCCCAGGGTGAAACGCTGATGATTCATAACCTCCACATGCCCCAAGGACGGCACCACGGAGCTGAAAATCAGGTAGCTGAAGATGGCTGACTGTGAGATAAATTGTTCCCATGTGGCAGTACAAGCCTATAGCCTGTTATTATCTCAGGGAAAGTTCCTCAAAATTGCCTTATCTTCTCTGCATAATGAAAAAGGATCTAACGTGCCTGTTAGAGAATAACCACTTTATTAGAGCTTTTCATCACGCTGACATGAATGAAGGGCAAAGTGTTTTATTCCACAGATAAAAACAACCCTTTGAATCTCCTGATAGAAGTGAACAGAGTACAAAGTGATATCTGAAATGGCCTTAAGGGAAAGGTAAACAGTCATCAAATTAGGGACTCAATACCTTCTCTCCATTCATGCAGGAGAAGAGATGATGTCAATAAGAGGTCATGTATTAAGTCCTTACACAATATTCTTCTGCAGATAATGGCTATATTAAACTATAAAACACCTATTCATACACTTCTTTGTACCTTTTGCTACTTAAAGCCTGTACTACCAGGAACTTTAATAAACCATCACTGTTGGTTCAAAGTATAATATGCAACATTTCTAACACCAATACCTCAGATATCAAAGTCATCTTAATTAATACAGTGCAGTAATGACTTCCTACAAAAGAGAGGGTGCAGTCAGAGTCCCTCTGGTTTTGTTGTTGTTAGCTCTGTGGTCACAGTGACAAGGGGGGGGGCGCTTCCTTCAGCTTGTTTGTTTGCTCATACATACATACCACTCACCAGCACCTCTGAATGCAAGCAGGAAGCAAATTATTTTCTTGTTTCATGTGCATTGATTGTCTACTGGATTATATGTCTGTCGAATGTAATCTCTGGACCAAATGTCAATGACAGTTGGTCCAGTGCAATGGCTGCTTAACTTAATTGGCACCAGTCTCACCAACTGTGTCTGTGGGAGTGTGTTTGTGTGTTTTTGGCCCCTGACTGAACTCGAGACTCAACAGAAACTCTGTTTCTCTCTGATATTTCTTTCATTTTTCTTTACGTCTTTTCTGGTTCATTAAGTAGATTCATAAAGTCTGGGGATACGGGCACATTTTTCACTCAAGTTGAAACTCCTTAATCTAGATGTGTGCGGCTGTGTCTATGACTCCTATTTGCATTTCCTTGTTAGAATGCCTTCTGTATTGCCTAGTCCTTCCATTATTTCATAGAATATTAAATGCATATTCAATTGGGTTCATTTTATTATTATTTTTCCCAAAAAGGGATGCACCATTTGGATTTTTTTTAGCTGGAACCAATTTATGAAAACTCAATTAATAATCCTCAGCTCAAAAATCCACACTTGCAACAATGTTTTGTTTCGATATATGGAAAATGGACTTGTATAGCGCTTTTCTAGTCTTATGACTACTTAAAGCGCTTTAACACCGCAGGTCATACCTCTATTCACACACTGATGGGTAATATATAAAGTGACCATCAGAAGTAATTAATCCCATTCATACACATTCATATGCCGCCAACAAAGAAGCGGGAGCAGCTTGGGGTTAAGTATCTCGCCCAAGGACACATCAGACATGTGGCTGCGTGAGCTGGGGATCGAACCCCAGGAGACACCTCAGACAGATGTTATAACAGCAGACGAATGCCCTCAATTTTAGAATGACATCTTTTACAATAATATCCCAGTGTCCACATACTGTTTGTCTAAATTCTCTGTCAAGTAAAATGATGGCAGCAATTAAATGAGTGCATATGGTTAGAACAGTTTTCAGTTTGATAAATATGAACATAAACAGTCTCTTTGTGTGATTCTTCAGGCAGACTGACACATCCCGACTCATCAGCATCAGCAACATGACGTCACGCTTTTAAAATACCAACCAAAAGTTGGTCCATTCCCATTTTATAGACTCCCTCTGCAGGTTTTTATGTCTCAAATCGCATCTGGTAGCTGTGAGTGTCCTACAGAGATGAATGCAATGGCTGTGTGCGGAGTGTAAGAGACATTTGTCACCTATATTTTCACAGCATCGAACCAACTTTACAGCACAAAATAAGGGAATGCAGCTGAACTCTGGGACATAGAGGTGATACAATTCCCTAGAGGCTAGCTCTGCCCTATGCTTTGTTAAATCTGTCAGCAAGACAAGACGAGACAAGCAAAAAATAATCTTTTGCTCAACGTGACAACCGAATTTATTCATGTCAACTTTGTATGTGCTGCTTTCTCTGAACACGCTTCAAGAATATTTTTAGAAATGACAATGGCAAGCCTCATTACAGATGCATATGCACACAGGTGGTGTATGTTTAAAGCAAAGCAAAGTAAATGAAACATTTTAAAACCACACCAAACAGCTTGAGTTATAAGTACATAACATCCACAAGTTACATTTTAGATTTGATGCTTTTTGACCATGTCTACACTTAAAAATGAGTCTCTGCTTTGTCATAGATTTGTCATAAAAATGTGAGTCACGTCTTCTGTAGAGTGCCTCCATCCCAGCTTGGACACCCTCCTCTTTTAATCTTCATTCAAAAGCATTCACCCCTGCAATGTGACGTCCTGTTACTCCTTGCCCAGCACCCGATGGGAGGCTGATATGACACAGGTTGGACAATGAAGACATCTTTTCTGTGGGCGGTATCACATCAAGAACAAAATAACAATGTGTGGCTTTGTGAATCACACGGAGGGATAATCATTACTCCGTGTTTGCACTGACAAACAGACGCACCGTGGCCTACAATGTGCAATGTGTTCAGTAATTGGCACCAGCCAAACCTTAATAAGCTTTGACGGTTACATTTGTAAAAAAATTATTTATAATTTTCTAAAATGCTTCGTAATGAGTCTGAATAAAAAATGCCTTTTTGGTCGTGCCATTGCTCACATTTCACGTTTCTGGCATTTTGCCGCTTCTGATTCAAATGCTACAGCTACCGAACGATAGGCAAGTAGAGAGAAAAAAAACACAAATCATGCCAATACCAAGTAAAGAAATGAAACAAAAAACTGTTTTTGCACTGGGAGCTTTAAGAATAGTGTGCATACAATAGTTGGTTTTCAGTTCCATTTTTGTACAATAATTGACTTCTAAGAAGGTCTTAGGCAAATAATTAGAAGTAAGGACTAAAACCTGATGGAAGTTATTAGGTTGTGTTTTACATGTTACTGCTTTGCTCTCACTGCTTAGAGTGTCAGCTGTATAGATTGGTCGGTATAGTGTTTCATGTGTTTTCTCTGGAGGAAGTTAAAGTTCCTTTAAGTGGGGCTCAGAGCCGGATTAACCAACCAGCTCACCTTGGGATGAAATTGAGCTGCTCCCCTCTGTGTTTGCCCTCGTTTTTCCCAATAGCAAGCAGAATGCACTCTGCAAAGTAGTCTTTGAAAAAAAAAAAAGAATTCTGGCTCAGTGACTCACTAGTTGGATTTTCTCCCTTCATTCAATTGGACATTCGATTTCAGATTGCAATGAAGTGATTGATGATCATATTTTGTTATGCTTACCCTCAAAATCCTGCTCACACTCCAATATTCTCTTAGACTCAGATTTTCTCTAAGATAAGGCTACAGCCAAGACCTTGCATTTAATTTAGCACATATTGTTTTGGCTTGGTTCTCTGTTTTTGGGGGCAGTGGCCCATTTCCCGTTTGTGGCTTTCACTTTTTTCAGTCAGCATGACCTTTAGCTTTTGTTCCAGGAATACTTTACATTTGAGTCTGCATGATTAAAGCAATTTGAAAGTCAAGGCTTTTTTTTAAAAAAGAGCAACACATACAGAAAGGAATGAGGATGGGGTAGACCAGACTATATATTAATATGGACGGAGAAGCAGCCGCCTGGGACTGAAGCCAAAATACTTAGATCCCCGCCCCCTACTAACTGGCTGCAGTATAGGTCATAAACCCACCTCCTTTTCAGCAGAGGACATGGGTTGAACTATAGAGTTAAAATGCACGTCTAAAATGTTTTTGCAGAACCTGGAATCTGTCATGGTAGTTAGTTATTTAATGCTGATATAGGTCCAAGTGTTTTCTTTCTTTCTGAGTAGTTCTGTTTTAATTAGCTGGTTTATGCAAACAGAGAGCGGATGTACCATCATGATTGCAAGGCTTGTTGACAAATGCAGATTCTGCAGCATTCTCAACCGGATAAGCAGAGTCGTGGACGGAAGGCGATAGGAAATATCTGCTCCAAACTGACGCCAGAATTTCTTCTGCTGTGGACTGTACACACCTATCTGTGAATGCCTGTTTTGGTAAGTGGAAGGACTTCATTTCCGCTCTTCCAATAGCCATACCGCTTTTGTCAAAGTACGTCACCAGCGCATTATGTCAACGGTCATTGCAGGGGTATTTTTGCTTCACTTTTGTACAACGGAAGGATACAGGAACACCCTGTCCCAGTCAATGGGATGGATGATCTGATCGAACCAACGAAGGACTTTCACCAAGGAGACAAGAATAAGTGGTCCATATGAGAGATATTATTTTAACAATGGCGTTTTAGTAAGTAGTTGAAAGGTACATTTTCAGATCTTGCACATCCAATGTGACCCCAAAAAGATTACAATTTCGTCTCTATTCTCCAGGTTTCTAAGGTATCAGCATCCAGTTATTTATACAGAGTAGAACAGGGGGGCATTAGTTATGTGACAATGTTGATCGTCGCAATAATGCAAAAATACAACAAAGAGAAGATCATAAAGGACATCATCAAAGTCGTAATCTCTTTTCCTTTAGAGGAACAATAACTCCTCAGGGCTCAGCAGTAATCTTTCCAGTCACATAAACTGGTAAGTTAAATCATTATTCTTCTGCAGAAATGTGAGGATGAGAACAGCCTGTTTTCAGCTCTCCTCTGACATATCCCTCCATGTTGGACGGCAGACGGCAGTGGTGGTGGTGATGGAGAAAAGGGTGGAGGCAGGGTGACACCAGAGTGAAACATAACGCTGTTGAATCTGGGACACCATACTAGGGCACTTAGTGAACGAGCTGATCCCTGGAGCTGGGATCTGGAGACCGATGGATAAAAGTAGGAGGAACAGCGTGGCACGACAGAATTATCTCCGGACAAAGAGCCCGCGTTATCCCGCAGAAGACGAAGAAGATGATAATTTGCATCTCAATTTTGAGCCAATGCTGAGTAGGCTTATGGGACTGCAGCGCCGAGGAGACGAGGACTCAGCCTGGGCACAAGTGTATTTAATTTCCTATATGTTCTCTTATATGTTTCTACTCATGAAAGCTTGAGGGGAAAAGCTTATAATTCCAAGCCTGTCCATCCATGTCAGTGGATGCCATTCCCATGTCATGGAAGGGTTAGGAAGTGAGCAATATAGAATCCGTTTTCTAAATGGGTTTTTCGCCAACAAACATGCTCCATTTCCAAGTATGAGCTGTAGTTATACTTAAAATCTGAGTAATATAGCCTACCATGGTTGGAGTGAACAGGTGTGTAATGATTCTTCAAGGTTCTGACCGGCGTCTCGTCTTTGGGCGACCCATCAATCGCTGCAATGTTTTCATGTTCATACTGAGATATTGGAACGGGACCTTGTTGCCTCAGGATGTCTGCCAGGGCTCTGGAAAGAAATAACACAAGTACAAAAAAATGTTTGAACTTAAATGTTTTCCAATTACCAACATTTTCCTCTTTTTCTTTTCCAATTCACAATCCCCCTAAAGGTCCTTCTAATTTATTTAGCTTCGGCTCCAATTTGAATCAAAGAGGTTGGGAGCAATGCAGAGAGGAAATCCTAATTACACCCACAGTCACAAGGGGGGTTAGATTTTCAATAGCTTGGTACACAAGGTACAGAGGAGTCCTATTTAAGTGTCCAACTCCAGCACAAGGCCCATTTATTATGAGTTACGTTAATGCCCTGCTTTAAACCGGCAAATAAAAGCCATATTTCACAGATTTTCCTACTTTTTGAAGGCGAAAAGTCTGTCTGTGCGATGGAGAAACATCACTGCACCGCCGTACAGTGTAGGAAACGGCAATGTAAGTGTGTCAATGTCAACCTAAAGCAGCCGCACAGTCCTCTTTTCTATAACTCAGTGACTTTGAGAGATATACTGTATATTAATAGCATTTCCCTTCCAGGATAAGCACACTTTAGCCGTTTTCTTTTTTTCCAGAGACGGAGGCGACCTGGTTTGAAATTGTCCTAGTTGGCTGCTGTAGTTGAAGTAGTTTATGAAACAGTCCCAACTTTTAACATGTATTTTAAGGGGGAAGAATAATGTTTGACCAAGAAAGTGGACGCAAAGGAAGAAAGATTTGACTTTTAATTGTTTAAATTCTGCATACTGAGATAATTGTATTTATTGTCATCACAATGTACGGAGAAAAAAAACTGTCACAAACTGCTTTTTAAAGCACAGAAGTGTCTAAAAGTAAAAGATAAATTTAAGACGAGTATTAAAGAATAATGTTAATAGTGCATGGTTATAAGAAAGGGAAATATTAAATATTGACAAGTGCATTCTCATAAGACAGTGTTTCAAGATCGCAGGTAGAGTGTTTCTAAGTCTGGAGTTACTAATAATGCAAAGATCTCGTCACCCTTTGTCAAAAGCTAAGCGTTAAGAATAAGCAGCAAAGCCCAATTCACTGATCTGAAGTGCACTCACTTTTACCTAGTCAACATAGTGTTAGTAATATGTTCTGACACAAAACTAAATAATGGCCTTTAAAGGAAGCAGCAAGACTTGAAAATCAATGCACAATAAAATAAAAGAGGGTTCTGTTGAAAGCTACTGAGGGGGAGCACGTTATCTGAAAGAAACAATGGGACGAGAATGGACCCTTGGGGAATGCCTAAATTAAACAGATTTATGGAGATGCAGGAATATACCATAGAAACTGAGGGTTCCAAGGCGTTTGTTTTTACATCTGTATAACTGATAACTTGCCCAAGGACACATTGGAAATGTTGCTGCAGGATCTGGGGATCGAACCCTCAACCTTCCAGTTGAGAGATGACTGACTCTACCAACTGAGCCACAGCCACTCCCTAAAGATAAGGCCATAGTTTTACATGGCTGAAAAAAAGAACAAAACCTAAACTGTCAATGCTTTTATCTCTTTAAAGTTGACAAACTATGACATTCATGACCCAGAACACATTATTAGTATTGCTGTGCTGCAATTTTCCTTTTTCATTTTTTTATTGTTAACATAATTTCTAATGCCAGTATTTCTGAACTAAACTAAAATTGGCTATATAAGCCAAGAGCAGAGTTTCTTTATATACTTTGACTTTAACTTTCTGTTATTCTTCCATTGTTTTTACAAATACACAGGCGCCTTGCCTTTTTCAGTCAGCCTCTCGGCTCTGAGATTGGAAAACAAAGCATTATCCTTACCACCTAGCCGGCATAAATTGGTTTGCTCTGCAGAAGTTGATCAATACAGCCTGTTCAAACCACTGGCTTCAGCTCTCACTCCACATTTCTTCTGTTTCGGTGAAGGTCACAGACCAAACAGCAAAGGTCTGCCAACAGCTCAGTATTCTGCTCACAGTCCTCCCCCCTCAGCCGCAGAGGTAGGAGTCTAAATTACATTAAAGAAGCACCAGAAATTTAGAGAGACGCTCAGATCATTTGAGGTGGAGCAGACCCTTGCCAAATAAAAAGCTAATCCCATGTTCCACTACTCCTTTTTGGTCATGGCTTGTCAGTGTGAATGTCTGCTGCCAGCCTCTGAGGTCTATTTCAGCAGACATCATTATGACAGCTACATATGCCAAAATAAAGAAAAATCATATAAAGGAAAAACATCTTTTTACTCACCCAGCAAACCATTTCTCCTCTTTTAATCAACCTCGCTCTAAACTCGAGTGGCTACCGCTTATATTGATGGCCTTGAACACTTGAATGTATGCCCCATGGATAGGACAATACTGCAGAATAAAACCACACAAAAAATGTCCCCTGTTTTCAATTCTCAGGGCATAGATAAAAAAAAAGTGCTGCATCATGAGCTTTTGTTGTTTCAAATACAGTATTACGAAGTCTCATGAGTCCATATGGATATTAAAAAGCTGACTGTGCCAAAAAAATAATTATTTAAAAGACACATCAGTGGAGCTTACATTTAATCTGATCTGCTCAAGGAGCTTCTTTGTGTTGTTGTCAGGGCTGGAAGTTTTAGAAACTGTTTTAACAAGAACATGTCAAAGTGTTTGGTCTGAAGCTGAGTAATCTGCCTCGACATTTTCAAAGCAGCAGGTGCCAGAGTTTTATGACCAGGACATAACAATGCACAATTATCTTCATATCTTAAAGTTAATGCCAGACGTCCTCCTCCGCCTTTAGTCTTCTGGTAATTTTAGGTGACTCAAGTGACTCCTGGGTAAAAGCAATGACTAACTCAATATGAGTTCATGTTTCACCAACGGGTGGAAAACGTGCATTTTAATTGAGACTTAACTCCATATTTAAACTCTTTTTAACCCTTTATTCTTACAAATGCTACAGAATCAAACCTATATAACTTTTAATTTAAAGAAAACAGACTTCTATATACGTAAAGTACCTTGTTGGAGACCAGACTACACGACTAAAAAGGAAGGAACAGGTGGTGAACCAATTGCTGAAGGGTATCAAGAAGAAGTGTTTACCTCAAGTTTAAAAGAATGGAACATACCTTAAAAGGTTCCAAATGGGAACTCTAAAACAGACGCTAAAAGGTAAATGCAATATAGTGCTTAGCAACAGACTCAACCACCTATTCCAATGGAAGACCAAAGCCTTTGATATATTTGTCAAAGGTTTCTTTAAACAGACTCTAAAAGACGCAATCTTTGAAACAGACGCTGAAGGGTACCTACAAACAGTCCTCACCTTGAAAAGAAGACAAACAGACGTCAAAAGATGCTTCATTGGAACCTTGAACAGATGCAAAATGGTACCCTATGTGAAGTATCTATACACTTTAATCAAGATGTAAAGGAGGTCTGAAAACAGTTGTCCTATGTTCTTTAAAAAAGACGCTAAAGGTACCTTGAACTGGCACTAACAGTTTACTATAAAAAAAACTTAATCATTCTGTAAGAAAGGCAGAAATAGTCCTTAAAACAACTTCAAAACATTAGTACCTTTAGTATCTGAATGAGACACCATGGAGGGAAAAGAAGGTGCTCGACCATAGGGTCAATCACAAAAATCACCATCGCCAAAATTGTCCTAAACACAGTATTCTTTTTTAGGTTCATTTTTTTTTGTGAATCTTCAATAATTAGCTGTTCCCATGACTAACTAACAATTAACAATAGATTCAATTCAGCTCTCATTACAGCATTCATTCACTAAAACACATTCTCTCAATCAGCTGCTGCCTCCTCTGATTGGTTTAAGTGGGCGGTGCTTGGCTGGAAAACATTTTTTCACATACTGTACTACCATGGAATTAAGAATACACTGAAACGAGACCACATTAAAACCCAACTCAGTTTTTTTAACAGCTATAAGGTTGATTCATTTAGTTTTCTCCCCCCTCTTCTGTAAAAAAAAACAAAACGATTTTAAGAAAATGTAGAATTTAAAAGCAAAGCCTTTTGATGTATACTCTTCAGCTTATGTCACTGTAATGGGACCATTTTAGTGTACTGTAAAGCATACTGTAATGGATCCAATAAAGACACCAGCTATCTCCAAAAGTCGTAAAAAAGCGTAAATCTGCAGAGGAGGACTCAGATTGATAACTCAAAGGGCTTTCTGGGAGGTTTGTTTCAGGACACAAGTGTAGAAGGAACAAGAAACTACAGATAATAGCTAACATTTAGTACGTCTTTTGTTTTCTTATGATGGGCGGAAAAATGTTGCATACTGCCGGTTTTTTTTCAGCTGATGACTGAAAAAGCCATTGGGATGTCTTTTTTATGCTTCTCTCACGCTCATTGAGCAATTCACTGACCACTAACGGTGCCCAGAGGAGTTAATAATATTGTCAATGTGGAAGCAAACACTCATATCAGGACGATCACTCATTACGGCTTCCAGTGGCATTTACTGGATCCCTCTGGGGACCAACATACCAAACCCCCACCCTCTCCACTGGGACTGACACAGAATGGGGTTTTGTGATGCATAGAAAGGTATACAGTGTTGACATTTTTGACAGGAAAGCTCTGGAGAGGAGAATAATGACATGTGCTAAAGGTCATGAACTGTAGTGAAGTCATGATAGTGAGTCGGTAACTCATGTCCATAGGATTGATTTTCAATTAAAGGAAGAAAGGACTAACGTTATTGCAGCCCATATTTCCATAGCAACTCTTTCATTTAGAGCTCAAAAGAACATAAAACTGAAGAGATATGCCAACCATTCTTACTCCCAAATACAGCTTTGTCATAGGCCGAATGTTTCAAAATATCCCAGTGAGCACCAATCATGACTTCAGCATTGAAAATTGGTTGACAACGAGGTGAAGTTCTTCCAAAAACCTCTTCATAACCATTTTCCAACCAGCTTTAACAAGGTTACAAATCCCAACTTTCATAATTTGGTCCTTTTAGGGTTACAAGGTGGACGGACATGATGATTGTTGGAGGCGTTTCTCTTAAATCGTTTCGCCGTGGTTGGAGAAATCGTGTCACTGCAAAGATGTCATTTAAAAGCATTTAACCTTCACAAGAAAATCATAAAATCTTTATGGACCTGTGATTTTAACAAGAAGGTTCAGATCGGTCCAATGGCAACTGTAATGTGCGATTGGAATCTGCGCACCCATGTACCAAGCATTTTCACCTTGTATGTTTATGTATTGTCTGTGCTTTATTAAGTGTATATGAGTCTCCCTGCCACACAATGTACCTATGGGTACAAATAAAGTAACCTGAACCTGTAGAGAAGCAGTTTCAAACATTCCCCCCAGAAGAAGAAATAAGAAGTTGTGAGCTCGAGTCCAACTTGTCTCGTTCATTTTTTCATCTGTGAATGTGATGCACTGCTCTGCGATTCATATACCCAAAATATATAGGATGCAACTAGAAAATCTATGTTACCATGTGTTTGAATGGGTGACGAATCTCCAGACAAGATTTACCAGTGAACTCTGCTCTCAACATACTGTATATGTTTGAATTACGTCTTTAAATAGTCTGTGAAAAAAACATTCCTATTTCTGCGAGCAAAAATACAAATTCAACAATTCACTGTCCACCGATCCATTTGGCCCAGTTAGGACACTGTGTACTTTCATGGTGTGAAATTGTGCGTTTTGTTCACATTCATGAACGTTTTCAGCATATGGCCCTAATACAATCACCTGTGCTACCTGCAGATACAGAGGACTACTTTTTCTGTAATACGTCACACTTGCTTGTTGCTATGATTTGTGACTTGGTCCATTTGCCCATTAAAACTCCACACAATATATTCAGTTTGAGGTTTAATATGATGGTATTCATTCATGTTTACTGATAAGATACACTCAGATATACTATATTGATCCTCCATTAGGAGATACTTGGTCAAATTAAAAATTCCCATATTAGGGTCCTTGTTTAGGGTTTCACACACTTTCAGGCAGTTAGGGGCACGATGTCAGTCATTTTAAAGGAGACTGACAGATTTACACAAGTTTTGTTAAGACAATTGGAATGAAGTGGAATAAAAAGGACAAACTCACCTGTGCACGTTCATCTCCTGCGGCGGCTTGGTGGCTTTGTCATAGGCAACTTTAACACAAATCCCAATGGCGATGATGAGCGCGATGACAGCGCATGTGATGTACACCGTGGTGTTGGTCGGGTCGAGCTCCGGGTCGTACGTGTCACCCGTGGGCGCAGGTGATGGGGGCTGGGTTTTGATCCAGTCCGGGGTGTTGTAGTTGGTGCAGCTCTTCTGCTCCAGCCGCTTCCCGCGGTCCGCGCAGCAGAAGCGGAGGAAGCAGCTGCCGCAGCAGAAGCGGTGGTCGGTGTTGTTGCACACGAACTCCTTGTCGTACTGGCCGCTCACGTCGTAGTGGCCCAGGCAGGTGTCGTGCTGCACCGAGGGAGCCTGGACCTGCGTGATTCTCCCCGGGACGGCGGCAGCCAGCGGGAGCGCGGTGGTGCTGCCGTTGACCTCCTTCACCTTTGTGTTTCTCCGCGGCGGAGTTTTGCTCTTCTTGTTGTTGGTGGCGGAGCACAGGACATTCAGCGGGTCTAAGTAAATCAAAAGCAGCAGAAGGAGCTTTATCCCCATCATTTGAGGACGCGCTGGTGTTTGTTCTTTGGCCTCCACTCTCTCTCTCAACCTCTTCCTCTCTGACTCTCACTCTGTCCACTTCTTACCGAGTGGAGCTTCTGGCTTGTAGTTTCTTCATCGCAGTTACTCCTTTACGCGCCAAGACGGACTTTGACTGGAAGACTTCGAGCTCCACAGACACAGAAAGCATCCTCTGACTTCGCTGTCATCCAGTACAAATTATTTTTCTTCTTATAAAAGTTCGCTCTGAACGAAAGTTCTCTAGGATTTCGGTCGCAGAGACGTGAAAAGGACCCAAAGTCCTGTAGGGGAATCTTTCTGTTCTTTACCATCGGCAGCTGATCTGACTCGAAGCTCGTACTTAAACTGTGGGGAACAAAAGGCACGCATAGATGGATTTAGTTGATAAAATAAGACTTTAAGATAGGAAAAGTAACCATGAGAAACTAAATCGACAATGAGAGATTATAGAAATGAGAGTTCGGATCGATAAATGGCAGTAACTGCGAAGGACACTTTCAGCACCATGGACAGCGCCCAAGTTTCCATTTGGATGTTTGGAGCGCGTCAGCGTCCAAGAAAGTACATGTTTGAGATCTGTTTCTGTTCCAATACCACATGAAAATACGTTATTTAAGTATAAAAAACTATGTCCTTGAAGTCCATAACGAAAAAAAACCTCGCAGCTTTGGGGCGTTTTCCTGGATCTTTTGCCTTTATTGTACGCGTAAACTTACTTTTTATCTAGATTTCCTGAATCGAGCGTTAACCTTTAGAAATGAAAAAAAATCTAAGTGAAAAAAGGAGAAGAGGAAGAGGACTTACCGGAGGAACTGCGGCCGGTAACCGGGTTGTCTCAGCCAGTGCCACTGATTCAAAGAGCCTCAGCAAGACAAGAGGCGAGACCTCCCCTCTCCTCTCTCCGGCCCGCCTCCATCCCTCTCCCTCTCTCTCTCTCTCTCTCTCTCTCGCTCTCTCCCTGCTCCCTCCCTTCCTTCCAAGTCACACATTCAGGTACCTCAGTTAATTATCAATCGGCTTGTTTCGGTCACGTGCCTCCGGGCTTCACTCGATAAGTCGTCGAGGTGTAAAAAAAAAGAAAAGAAAAAAGAAAAAAGAAAAAAGGAAGATAAGTGTATTAGAAGTTGTCTGCACGCGGCACTGCTGCTGGACATTCACGCATCAGTGCTCACACAAGCTGCATCCACTCACAAGTCACCAATCACGTCCTCTGGGTGTGTGGAGTGTGAGTGTGTGTGTGTGTGTGTGTGTGTGTGTGTGTGTGTGTGTGTGTGTGTGTGTGTGTGTGTGTGTGTGTGGCCGTGCTGGTTTAATTCAGAATAATACATCAGGAGCCATGGCAGAGTAGGTGAACATGTCTAGTTTGACTTTGAGTTAAAGCTTATACTATTATCTTTTAAACGGCTATAAATGTTCTGAATGTAAGCCTAGAAAAAGTATTTGATTTTATAACAATTCTGACTTATTCTCCACGAATCTCTCCCTCCAGTTTTTCCTTCTTAAAGCTTCATTTTAAACTTTGACTTTGGCAAAAGTCTAACAGAGTTTTGGCTTTTTTCGAGAGGTTTTTTATTTAGAATTGAGAACTGAATTGATGTTGTATTGTGACTAAATGCTCATACTGTAAAATGCCAGAGACTTTTTCCAAATTCAGAATTAGTGCTCAACTCTCATCTCGAGGTCAGACTACACGTTATAAGTAAAGTTATAGCCCGATATGGACGAAGGTTTTTGGGACCCATCTGCCCCAAAAACAATCATTTTATCTTGTGAAGTAAACAAAAATCAAGGCCACATCTGGGACCTCACGCAATCCGGACTGAAACGCTAGCATGTTTGAGGGTTTTTTCAGGGTGCACAGAGCGCTCTGAACGTGCCAAAGTCAGGAGCCACAACAAACATTGAAACTCCATTCAATCTGCAGAATCCCTCTGCACTTTAAGAAAAAGCTAAAGACCCAGCTCTTTCATGAATACCTCCTAACTTAATGATGATGGTCTCCATATTATTGATGATGATGATGGTTTTTGTTTGATAACGATGACTTATAAGATGGTTTCTATACTGATTAGAGCTCTCAAGAACTGCCCTCCATGTTGTGCTTTGCCTCTGGTCACTTCCTGTCAGCACCTGTGTGTCCAATCGGACTCAAAGCTGATCGTTTGCTCTTACTGACATTGTTCCCTTTTTCTAGATCCTTGCTTGTGTTGTACTTACTCTCTGATGTACGTCGCTTTGGATAAAAGCGTCTGCTAAGAGAATTGTAGAATTGTAGAAACAAAATGGCAAAGTAATAAAATAATGATGAAGTTAGTGTAACGAGATGGAACGATGAGACAGAGGAAAAGTTTGTCAAGCTTTTTTGTTTAGAGTCTTCTTTTCCGGGTGTCGCCTAACCAGCCCCTTTTTTTTCCAACGTCGTTCATGATGATGGTTAGGTTCCATCAAGTAGTCCGTCCAGCTGTCGGTCAAGTCATGGCACAAATTTACGGCTCTGCGTTGTCTGACCTCGGCATTAGAATTGGCTGTTTGACCTTTTGTGAGTCCATGTTGCTGAAGCCCTCTGGTTTCCTGAGAGACATCGGTAGTGAGTTGAACTGTTTATTATTTTATGGATTAATTAATGTAAAATGCAAACAGTCCATCTCCCAAATGGAGAAAAACTGGCATTGGAAGTTTGAACATGACAAAGTCCAGTTTTCACTTTTGATGGACTTTTAATAGTTTGGTGAAATCTGGTGGTACCAGATGGGGAAATGGGCCACATTAAAACATCACCGACAGGTAATGTGACAGCAATAAGACATCATTTTAAATTGACTTTCAGATACTTTGCTGTCATTGCCTGAACTCCACTGTCCTCGTTCTCTCAGTCATTATCCGGGGTGTCAGAGCTCATCCATCTGGTGTGCAGACTAAAAAACCTCTGCCAACATTTATTTGTCTTAGACAGCGAGAGTGCTGTTTGATCAAGGTGAACACTGCTGGACCAAGGTCTGCTGTCATTACTTTTATAGCAGAGGTTCCATGTGGACCGAGATGATAATATTCATACAAAATGATACTAAACAGTCAAAAACCACCTGTCTTTATCAAAGTCCAAAACCAGAGGGGGAGGGGCTAAGCCTCTGTACTGTAAATGGGGCATGCTTACTAACCGCTAGGCTACAGGTACCCCGTAAATCCAATATTTTTGACATCTGGTCCCCATTTACAGACATTTAAAGATCTAAAAGAAGCAGTCACATGGCTCTCTTCAAACCAACCAGACTCCATGAATGAAAGCAGTGATTCTACATGATGAAACATAGGATGAGCAAGTCCACTCCTAAATAAATGATCTTTTGTTGCAGTATTGCGTGTTACACCAATCATCTGATGGATCCAAACTAACCCCAATTAGTTTGGGATTAGTTTGTGAATTGGGATTTAAACCCCAATTCAAACAACAAACAATCTATCTGATCAAGGCTTCTCTTACATTTACAATCACCATTTTTGGCAATGAAGTCTGGTAGCTTTTAAGAGAGTGGTGTTGCTACTGTTTCTGATGAGAAAAAGTATCTCCATAGGGATTTCTGTAGGTTTGATATCTTGTTGGTTGTAGATATGAACTCAGAATTCATTTCAACAATAATGCATGACTGATTTATTCTTTTTTTTTAACTTCCATACTTCAGTTATACTTTATATCAGCGCTAATTTCACTTCCGATAGAAGCCAAAGTGAATTTTAATTGTGGCACCGTTTCTTACACTGCTCATGTCATCTACTTCTGTGAGCCTCGGAAACTAGGTGTGATGTACTCCCTCGTGGCCCTGACTGCACTTTACTGATAATATGACAAGCAGACAGGAAAAAAGGGCACGGAGCTTTTGATGAATGTCTTTCCACACTAAACGCTCTGGAAGTCAGCATTTGCAAATTGGCCCTCTGTTCCTCTGTCAGTTAAAACGGCACATCAGATGGCATGTTGAGCACAAAGGGAAGAGCGATTGTCCATTAGTGTTAAACAGCTCGGAGTACTCCACGCTGGCCTCAGCGAAAAAGTGCTGACAGGTAGCGATGGGGTCGACATTGGCTGAAGAATAATGAGGCCATATTTCAACAGAAGAATGAAATAATGAAAGAGATAACCAAAGAGATGTGAAACTTAGATTCTACAACACAAAGCAATAACAAACAAAAAAAACATTGCTGTCCACATTTCTAATATTTTTAACTTATCAGATGTATTTCATGAACAATTATGCAGTTTGGACCTCAGATGGTTCAAAATGTCAAAAACCAAGAAATGGTTAAACTAACGCTTAAAAAATTCTTCATAGACTTTTTAACACTTTTTTTCCCTCAGGCACACATTTGTGACTCACTGAAAACAGCTCTGCGACCCACCAGTTGAGAACCACTGGTCTAAATGACTAATAGTAATAAAATAAATTGGGAGTAACATTTCTACAGCTAGCAGTGAAAGAGGCTGTAATGGCTGCTATGTAGTCCATGAATGCTACTGCTCTAACGTCCACTTAACAAATGTTAGAAAAACTGAAGAACCTAATGTAAATCTAAGAGTCTGACAACGATACAGAGAGGTAGACATTTTATTTTAAAGATAGAGATGCTTTTCTCCACTAAAAGCCGGCTGCTGAGGAAATGCCCATTTTGGGGGTGCTAGTAGCCTAGCGGTAAGTGCATGCGCCCAATATAAAGGCTGTAGTCGATGAGGGCGGGCAGCCCGGGTTTGAATCTGACCTGGGGCTCTTTTTCCGCATGTCGTTCCCCACTCTCTCTCCCCCCGGATTCTGACTCCATCAACTGTCCTATCTCTAAAATAAACGCATGAAATAACCCCAAATTAAATCTGAAATTGATTTAATACTCAACCGTTTTGAGTATTTTAAGGCCAAGAGTTAATGCATACATTAGGGGTGGACTTAGTTGCCTGATAGGTGGGTGCATCATTGCTGTTTCCCATGAGGCTTAAGGCCAGAACTCTTTCCCTACTGCTAGACTGATTTGAAGTTAGATGGAGTCGGCACTTCCAACATGGCCACTGCCGTGTTTGGGCTTCAAAACGCCTCTTCAGAAACCAATGGGTGATGTTACTGAGACCACGTCCATGTTTTATACAGTCTATGGACAAATGCCATTTATTTGAAGGTTGAAATACTGTTTTTTTGTGAATGGAGTCTGCTGACTTTAAAGTGAGCAATGTGAGAACAGCATAAAACAATCACACAGGGAGAGTAACGCAGCTCTTTTACAGCACCGTGGGAAGGCACTTGACAGCACTTGCCTTGTAATTGTCACGTTGATTAGTATCACAGATATTTGCCCCACATTCGCTCTCTGGTTGGTCTATATTTTGTCTTTCAATCAGGGATTTTTATGTGGGTCTTGATTTGGCTTAGCTCAGAGCACCAACCGAAATGTCTGCCCCAGTTCTGGTGGCAGAGGGGAATAGCTATCCTCTGACACGGGGGCCTTGTTGGAGGGTCCGCTCTGTCGCCTTTTTTTAATGAGCCAGGCACTCTCAACATGTTTCATAAGCTCACAATCGATGCAAAGTGAATCTTAACATCGTTTTAGCACGACAGAGCGTTGCTAAAGGGGCCGCACTGCTCTTATCCCGTCGACCTTGCAGGTGTCTCATCCCTCCATACGGTGCCTCTCGACTTTAAGTACTCGCATTATAATCTTAACATTGTGAAAAGCATTAATATCTCGAGAGATGTTTGCCTTTTTTAAGTTCATATGGAATATAAAGCATACTTTGATTCTAATGGAAAGATGCTTCAAAGACAAAGAGGGCGACGAGGAGAGGAACATTTAAGTACATAATG